ATGTTTTCTTTTGAGACCGTCTTGCTCTATCACCAGGCTGGAGTGCAGCGGCGTGATCTCGGCTCACTGCAACCTCCGCCTCCCGGGTTCAAGCGATTCTCCTGCCTCAGCCTCCCGAGTAGGTGGGATTACAGGTGTGCGCCATGATGTCTGGTTAATTTTTTGTATTTTAGTAGAGATGGGGTTTCACCATGTTGGCCAGGATGGCCTGGATCTCCTGACCCACCTCAGCCTCCCAAAATGCTGGGATTACAGGCGTGAGCCACCACGCCCGGCCCTGGATAAATTTTTTTAAAAACTTTGTAGAGACGGGGTTGCCTATGTTGCCCAGGGGGGCTCTCAAACTCCTGGCCTCAAGCGATCCTCCCATCTGGACCTCCCAAAGTGCTGAGATTACAGGTGCGAGCCACCACACCTAGCCTTATTTTTACTGTCTCTTTAAAGAGAAGTCTGTGATTCAGAGAGGTCAGGTTATTTCCCCAAGGTCACACAGCTAATAAACTGGGGAGGAGGAATTTTAACCCATGTCTGCCTGACCCCAGAGCCTGTGTTCGTAACTTGTCCTTAACTGCCATGCCAATAATCTCCTGCTGATGACAGGACCCTCCAAATCTACAAGCGCTCAAGGTGGGTGCAGAGCAAGTTCCCAAAAGCACCTCCTGCCATCCTGCCCCTCCCTCCCTACCTGTGTCCTCCTCAGGGTCATCGCCTGTGTCCTCTTCCTCCAGCGGCACTGGGTATTGCAGATGGGTCACCAGCCCCATGTTTTCCTTCTTGTAAAACTCAATGAGCTGGTCCAGCTTGGTAAAGAACCTCATGGGGACGCCTTCAGATGCCTGAGGACAGAAAACCCAAACAGACGCACATGTTAACCGACTAGAATGCCATGCAATCACAAAGGCCACCTGCAGCGGAGGCCGGCGAGGCTGGGGAGTGACTGTGATCCAGGAAAAGCCCTGGGTGCCTAGCAGGGTGTGTGACCCTCAGGCACACACCCTCACATCCTGCAAGGGCCTCCCCAGGGGCCCTTCTGCAAAAGGCACACAGAGGATCGTTAAGATCTGTTTTTCTTTCTGGTTTTAAAAACTTTTATTTTTTAAAGTATTTTTGGGCCAGGTGCAGTGGCTTATGCCTATAATCCCAGCACTCTGGGAGGCCAAGGCAGGTGGATCACCTGAGGTCAGGAGTTCGAGACCAGCCTGGCCAACTTGATGAAACCCCATCTCTACTTAAAAGAAAAAGAATACAAAAATTAGCCCTGCGTTGTGGTGGGTGCCTGTAATCCCAGCTTCTCAGGAGGCAGAGACAAGAGCGGAGGTTGCAGTGAGCCAAGATCGTGCCACTGCACTTCAGCTTGGGCAACAGAGTGAGACTCAGTCTCGAAATAAAATAATAACATAACATAACGTAACAACGTAACATAAAATAAATATTTTTTTAAATAAGAAATTTGTCTGGGCACAGTGGCTCATGCTTATAATCCCAGCACTTTGGGAGCCTGAGGTGGGCAGATCACTTGAGGTCAGGAGCTCAAGACCAGTCTGGTCAACATGGTGAAAGCCCGTCTCTACTAAAAATACAAAAATTAGCCTGGTGTGGCGGCGCAAACCTGTAATTCCAGCTACTCGGGAGGCTGAGGCAGGAGAATCACTTGAACTCAGGAGGCAGAGGCTGCAGTGAGCTGAGATAGTGCCACTGCACTCCAGCCTGGGTGACAGAGTGAGACCCTGTCTCAAAAAAAAAAAGAAAAGAAAGAAATCACTTGTAATCTCACAACCCTGAGATACCTATTTTCAACAGTTTAGAATATGTTTTTCTAGCCCTTGTGTGTGTGTTTGGTGGGAAAGTCATTTTTATTTTTTCTTTCATGAAGATCTTAAAAAAGCACACACACATGCAGGAAAAAATCAATTCCAGCAATTGCTTTAATTTTTATTTCTTTTATTTGTTGCAGTTGTTTTTATCAAAACTCAGAACATGACCTACTCGGTTTGTATCTGTTGCTGATAGCACTGGGACTTGGGGGTAATTGTGCTCGGCTATTCAAATGTCCTGGGGCAGATCCCTTTCCTTTAAGTCCTGTGGCTCCAGCAGGTAGTTCCAGGTAGTCCCTGAGCAGCCAGCCCCACCCCTACCTCACCCTTTACACTCTTGCCAGGCCCAGCCCTTAGGGGCAGCTAAAAGGGAGCAAGGGCTCAAGCAGTTAGTGGGTACAGGAATGAGCCCCTAAGAGGCACTCCCTCGAGTGGGGCCTCCCTGGCCCGGGGGAGCATAGCGCCCCTGGCAACTGCTAAGTGCCTGTGATTCACCCTGTGCTCATAACAACCACCATGTCAGTGACTTTCAGAATTTTTGTTTTTGTTTTTGTTTTTGAGACAGAGTCTCACTGTCGCCCAGGCTGAAGTGCAGTGGTACAGTCTCAACTCACGGCAGCCTCCATCTCCTGAGTTCAAGTGATTCTCCAGCCTTAGCCTCCCAAGCGGCCAGGATTACAGGTGCCTACCACCACACCCAGCTAATTTTTGTAATTTTAGTAGAGACAGGGTTTCACCATGCTGGCCAGGCTGGTCTCGAACTCCTGACCTCAAGTAATCTGCCCACCTCAGCCTCCCAAAGTGCTGGGATTATAGGTGTGAGCCACCACATCCGGCAACTTTCAGGTCATTTAAAAATTAGTTGAAAGGGCTCCATCCTTGGAGTTGGAAGTCAAGGATCCCACTGCTCCTCTGGGGGCTGCCAGCTGCCTTCTTTCTGGAGGGAATGGGACCCATCTCCTGTGGGAGATGAAACCCAAAGGCAAATATGATGGAGGCTGGAAAGCCCACCCTAGTTGATGAGTGGGCCGGGTCTGGGCTGAGCGTGGCCAGGTCTGGGCTGAGCGTGGCCGGGTCAAGTGTTGACCTTCCTGCCTCCAAGTCAGATATCTATTGGGATTGGGATTGATTTGAGAGGCTGGTAGGGTGCCTGAAGGTCTTCAGGATTACAGGCAAGAGCAATCAGGAGAGCAGATGAGGCAGGATGACCCAGCCTGGGACAGATTCGGGCATCAGGGAGCAGGGTTAGGACTCAGACCTGTTCCCGAGGCCTTGTGGCTGGGTGGCTGAATCCAAGGCCTAGTGAAGGACACATATGCCTGTTTCACTGACCTGCAATTCAGAGCTGTCCACTGGGCTCTGTCTCTTTTGTTTTGTGTCTCTTTTCTGTCTCTGTCTGTCTCTCTCTTTCCAGGTGTATTTTTCTGTGTGCATATGCATTGTGCACATGTATAAGTTTGTGCCTAGGGGTATGTGTGTGTTTGTATGTGTATCTTAAGCTAGTTAGTAAATTTATAGAGTTTAGCAAAAGGGTGTTTTAAATTCTTTTCAATAAACTTCCCTTGTTTCCCCAAAGCCCCACGTTAAGCAATCTCTTTCAAACATTGTTGAACCAGAAATATCTGAGGAGCAGCTGCTGGGCCTTCTAAAAAGTAACATGAGTAGGTTCAAAAACCAAAGCGAACAGAATAGCAAAAATAATTTGACATGATGCTGGATCTATGAACTTGATTCGGTTAAAGCAGTTGTGAAAAGTGTCAGCCTGTCCAAAAATGTGCAGCTAATAGATGACAAGCAATTAAGAGCATGGAAAAGGAATATGACAATACCAAAGAAACTCGAAGGGGAATGCCTCATGTGTGAATCCAGAAAGGGATTCTCGGCTGGAGGGTATCTGAGGAACGCGTGTTTGACTGAGCGCTTGAGATCTGGGAATTTAAGACACAGCAATGCTAAAACCTAGTAAGATATGTTTTTATGCACCGCTAAGAAGCTGAACCACAGAGTATGTTCCATCATTGATTATAGACGTATTTGACTCCAGAGACCTGAAATCGGAAAGGTAAACATCTTAGACTTGATGACTTACATTGGGTACTAGCAACGGACCAATTTAAAAGGGTCCCTGTGGATCCAGTGAGGCCACCGCGTGTACCCGGCCTGCTCCCAGAGGCCAGGGAGCCAGGCTCTGGCAGACCAAGGCCGCCGGAGGCCTGGGTTCCCAGGAAGGGAGAGAATGCAGGGTAGAAACCAAGCCTCACGTGGCAAGCTGACAGTAGCCGCTGAGAAGTGTGCCGGGGAGGGAGCCTTCCTCCACGTCTCCCCTCCGAGGGGAAAGCACTCAAGAAGAGCAAGCCGGTCCAGAGCAAGCAGATCCACTAGGGCAGAGCCCAGCTGAGGGCAAAGCTGCTGTGTGCAGTGGGCCTGCAGGAAGCCGCCTGTGCCCGAAGGCAGCGCAGACAGGAGGCAGCAAAGGCGGAGCACCAACCAGGCAGAGGCAGGTGTCCCGGGAGAAAATCTCTGGGGGGGGGGGGTTCCTCATAAGGCTTTGCTCTTGGCCCTAAGCTTTGACAGGGATAACAGAGAACTTATGTTCAAAGCACATTCTAGAACAGGAAAAGCAAGGGTCAGAGCTCAATATGGGATCACAGGAGCTACTGAGCAGCCCAGACAGGGGAGGGCTGGGGATTGGGGTCCAGACAGGTGGGTGGTGAGGAGCGTGGTCTAGCCTCAGTGTGTGCAGTGCAGAGAGTCCACCCATGGCACTGCATCCTGAACTTGGGCCCAGAAAGATCCTGCCTCAGGGTCTGATGGCCAAGGGAACAGGGCAGAGTGGCCAGTGGGGGGATGGGCCCGTTCAAAGGGTGACTAACAATCCCCACCCAGTCAAAGCCAGGAGGGGCTTCCAGGCGAACAGTGCATTGACATCCGCAGGCCAACAGGAACAGGGGGGTCCCTCGGGGACGAGCCTGGGGGTTCCTACCCACAGCAGGCCAAGTCCATACCCGCCCAGCTGCACGCCCACAGTCAGGAGCAGGTCTGCGCCCTGCTGTGTTACCTCCAGACTGTGCCGCAGGGCCTGGTAATTGGAGCAGCAATTAGCAGTTCTGTGGATTTGCCACCTTGGGGTCAGGTTGACAGACAAGAGTTGGAGCCAGGAGGAGGGATGGTCAGGGAGGGCCTTCTGTGGGTGTGGGTATGGGACTGGGGACGCCGAGAAACCGTGGCCAGCATGGGAGCTGCCCCCACTCACACCCCGCAGCACATCCGCCAAAGGTGGTGCCTTTTCGGCAATTGTAAAAGGCCAACGTGACCAAGGTGCCATGTGCGTTTCTCATGTGCTGCATCCAGAACCCTGGCAGGAGGCAGATGTCGCATTAAACTGAGGAACTTGGGGAGACTGCAGGGACAGGCTGTGGGGATACCAGCAAGAGTCAGTACAGCCCCCCAGAGCTCACCCAGTTACCACCCTAGGAAGATCACAGGCAAGAAGTGGGTGCTGGAACCAAGGGGTCTGTGCAGCAGGAGCTGTGGCCTCCTGGGGAGCCAAACATGAAGAACTCACAGGAGGGGACAGGGCAGTAAATCCCCACCCCCAACAACCTGCCTGTCATCTGGCTGCGGCTCCCATTAGCTAAACCCAATGGGGAAGCAGGGGACAGGGAAGCGAATGAATCAGGGAGCAAATGGAAGACGCTTAGCACTTAAAGTCCACGGTGAAAAGGTGCGCAACCAGACAGAGGGAAAGCAAGTGTCTGTGTCCCCCCATGACTCTTCCAGGCTTGGATCAGGAGGTTGGCACCAGCCCCACTTCTGACAAAGGAGGGGGATGCCCTTGGTTCCTAACAGCTCAGGCTGCCAGATTTCATTCCTCATTCCACAGCGGCCACCTTCCTGAAAAGAGTCGTTAAGTCATTTTGAAACAGAGACGGAAATTGTGAAGGCCCAAGTTATCCGGGACAGGATCCACGCAATGGTTACCGGTGGCCCCCAAGTGATGCCCTCGGACACGTGATTTCTGC